CAGCCGAGATGGCTGCCATTTATTGGGCCACACAGCTCTAAGTGGCAAAATCAAGAATTCAACCCAGGCCTTCCCTGTGAGAGTCAAAGCCTGAGTCCTTAATCATGACTCCTTTTCTTCTCCCATGGAGACTTCCTGGTTCTGTGCATCTCATTCCCGCCCCGGGTTCCCCTTCCGCCTCCACAGAAGTATCTGCAGGGAATGCTTACATGATTGCCGGCAGGTAACAGTTGAGGGCCTTTCTGTATCCCACCACCAGTTTCTTTGGAATTACTTTCTCATGGTACTTCAGGCAGCAGGTGTGAGAACTGTTCAACGACTCAGGACTTTCTGAGGGAATCACATTGAAAGCTGAGCCAAGTAGGTGTAGAGGGAGCCCATGGTTGCCTACCTTCATCCCCCATCCCTTGCACTCCCCGCCTCTGATGGCAAAGCCATCTGTTAGCAGGGGCTGATGATAGCTTGACGGGTAACAGAGAAAGTGAAAAAAGTGGGGGAGGACACATTCGTAGAACCTTCAGCCTCTGAACTGAGTTTCATCAAGTGCAAATGTCTCGGTTATTTCATTTGCTGGTGAACCAGGGCTTGGTTTGGCAAACATGTATTGGGCTTCTATTACATGCCACTCTCTAAGGGGGCAAAAAACACGAGGGAGACACAGTTGTTACTCTCGAGTATCTCCCAGTCTAGTCAGGGTGAAAAGGGAGAGTGAAAAATACTACAGTGGAATGTGGTCTGGGATAGAAGAGAATTTGGCACAAGGTGCTTTGGAAACAGCTTTGGGTGGCTGGGGAAGAAGTCCCATAGCACGCATGTGCATGCAAGTGCATGGCTTGATTCTTGAAGGCTGAGCAGAATTGAGACAAAGGGGTTGTAGGGCCTGGAAGAAACGAAGGTATGAAGGCTTAAAGGTGGGGGGAGCTGTCTGTGTTGGGGGAGCACTGAGCAGCTGCAGACGGCTGGAATGCAATGAGAGAAGAAAGATATACGAAGAGATGAGATTGGGGCTCCTGGGTGGCTCAGGTTAAGCATCTGCCTTCAGCTCAGGTCATGATCCGGGGTTCCTGGGATCGAGCCCTGAGTCAGGCTCCCTGCTCAGTGGGGAGTCTGCTTCTCCTCTCCCTCTGCCCCGTCTCCCCCCACCGCACTCGTATGCTCTCTCTCTCTCAAATAAATAATAATCTTTAAAAAAAAAGATGAAATTGGAGAGCGGGGGGGGGGGAGGACCAGCACACCTTCCTTGGAGGGGAGTGTGGATTCTATCCTAGAGGCATTAGAGGGGCTGGGGTCAGGGAGGAGGGTGAGATGAGCAATGAGCCAGAGAAGTTAGGGCGGGAAGAAAAGTGTTCTAATTTAGGCTTTAGGTCAGAGATCTTAAATAGGAATACTGACTAAATGATTTGAATCATGGGCAAATTTTAAAAATCTCTCTAGGTCTCCTCATCTATGAAATGAGGGTAAAAAATGCTTATGTCCGAGGATCGGGGTGAGGGTTGGCGGAGAAAATGCTGGTTAAGCCCTCAATTCAGAGCCTGGCCCATAGAAAGGCTCAGTCACCAGTTGTTATCATTAAGAGCAGGTGGTAGGAATGACCATTCTTCTTGCCCAGAAATGCCACTTGCCCGCCTCTCTTTGATGCTGACAGAATGCTGGCCTCGGTTGTTAGCACTGTCCCTTGAGCTCCCCTGACTGCTCATCAGTTGGAGATATCACACAGGAGGGCAGGCAGAGACCTCCCCCAGCCCCCAAAACTGCAGAGTGCAAATCCCTCTGCAGCCTGACCCCTACTTCCAGCTGGTGGCCAAGACTGGAATATCTCGAGAGTACAATTTGGCCGATCCATGCTTCGGGTGGGCCATTTCCTCTTTTTGGAAGACTGAACCCACTGCAGTGGTCTGTTTGACCTTCCCTAAGGGCAATGTTGCCTCCTGCCACCCACCAGATGCAGCTCTGCTCATAGTGATGGCCATGACCCCGGTACTCCAAGCAGAGTTTACAAAGTTCAGGGGCATTTTGAGAGTGTGTGGGCAGATTACATGGTGTGTGGGTGGCCCTTGCTCCCCTGAGAGTTTATACAGGCAGAGTCCAGCCAGACCAGGTGCCCGGGGTAGCTTTAGAGAGAAAAGAAGGGCTGGGACACCACACCCTAGGGTGGGTATGTGGTGTCTTTCATAAATGGTGGTTGAGTCGGGGGTAGAAAAAGGGTTAAACCAACCTTGTTCTCCATAGGTCCCAGGCATCCTGTGGCTCCACAACCTTTCAACCCCTTTCCTCTTTTCCTCTTTTCTATGGACTTTTCCTTTTTCTATGTGGACTTTTTCTATGGACTTTATCCCCATTCCCCAGCCCAGGTCTGGGGAATGGGGATAGAGGCCATGAAATTCTCATATGCACACCTGGGCATCCCACTGGGCCTTCTTTTGGCTGCCATGATAGTCCCAGCAATCTGTGCCAGACACCACAAGGAAGGGGTGTCTAGGTTTAGAGTCCCCACCCCTGGGCTTAGCCGCCTCCCCAACGCTTTTTGTCCTGCTCTCCCAGAGCATCTGCAGCACCTGTCTTGCTCTCCTTTCATTGCTCATGTTTATTATCATCTCTTCTGTTACTTCCTTGGCTCCCCCTAAATGATCATTCCTGTTCTCCAACCCCGGGACCCCTGACGTGACCTTGACCCAGCTTCCCGAAACTGCCTGATGACCCCAGAAGGGGTTGGGACCCCAGCCCAGCTCTCCTTGCGAAGGGGAGAGTTTGCGGACAGCAGGTGTGCCTGCAGGAGGGGAGAGGCCCTGCGGCTGATGACAGAGACCTGACAGGGCTCTTGGCGTCACCCCACTGCCAGCTACCTTGTCCCCCTTCTCATTCCTGCTCTACAGGGACAGGTGGACTCACTTGACTGGCCGTGCAAAGCAGGAGCGGTGAGGATGAGAATAAGGAGAAAGAGGGCAGCCCCGGAGACCTTCATCCTCTCAGGGGGGCCCTTCAGCTTCAGGGGAAAAGCTGGTTGTCCACTCTGACTTCACGGCCTTCTGGACTCTGACCACTTCGGAGCATGTGGCGGAGAGAGGAGGGGCCTCCCTCAGTGTTTGCTGAAAGGGGGCGGGGCCTGGCGCAGGTGAATTAATACGATTTAAGTTCAGGAGGAGGGGAGTGGAGAAGGGAGGGAGTGGTTCGTGTGCGCTGGGTGTCCGCCACCTTGTACGCCCTGTTTTACTTAATCCTTGCAGGAGTGAAGCGGAGATTATGACTCTGTTTTATCAATGAGGCCACCGAGGCTTGGAGAGGTTAAAGAAATTCTCCCTGAGGAAGGAGGCAGGCAGTTCTGAAAACCGGATCCGTGTGATTTCACCACCTTAGGGGCCAGCCGTCTCTATTTTGGGGGAGGTGGAGGGAGGGTGGAGCCTCCCCAGTTCCCCCAGGTGATCCGTCATTGGGAAGGTGAACATAAGGCAGGATTAGAGAGTGCACAGACTGGGGCAAGGGGTAGGGTTTAGGCCTCTGAAAACAATGTCCCCCATCCCCCGTCTGACACATGACTGAGCTCAGAATTTTTCCTGTCACAGATTATGTTACTAATACATCGAGAAAAACAATGTGCTGATCCTTGGGTCCTCATTTATTGCTGAGGTGTTTGGCTTGTTTGTTGATTTTTTTTTTTTTAAATATCTTTGGACCTTGGACTCTGAACCAGTTTTAGGTCTAGTTGGCCATCCCTTTTGCGTCCCCGCGGTATGGGTTCCTCCAACCTGCCGCTGTGGCCAATCATGGCCAGCAGAGGGCGCTCCAACCGCGCACGCACCTGGCAACCCGCTTCTGTGTCCCACAGTTCCAGGTTCCGGGTCCCCGGCCTTGACCAGGGCTAACCTGTCCCTCAGCATCTTCTCTCTTCAGACTGCCTCAGGACCCCATTCCTGGGGTTGAAGGCAGAGTTCAGAGAAGAGATGGAAGATATGGGATTTTGCTGTGGATGGACTGTGAGCTCTAGAGGCAGAGGGGGGAGCGTTTCAGTAAATGAAGAGTAGAGAGAGGCAGGGGCGGATTGAGACCCTTATGGGGCCTGCTGTTTGGCATGACTGCTCATAAATAAGGAAAAGTTGTGTAATGTATTTAGTCCTGCTGGGTTCAAGGCAGTTAGTGGTGGGGAAGCTGTGGCTTTTTATGAGGGTAGGGAGGGTATGTCTGTGGGGTACCCCCTTGGCTGCTATTTATGGAGGCAGGGAGGTCTGGAGAAGCCTGGTTGTGCCGTTAGCATACAAGCCTCCTGTTGGCCCTGGTCTTGGGAGGCCGCTGGCCAGGGAAGGATGGCCACAGAGCCTACGCTGGGCATGCTCTTCTTCTGAGTACGCAGAGCTCCCCCTCAAACCCTGAAGATGGGTCTGAGAGCCTTTGGGGGCAGCTGGGTGTTATTCATGGAGCATAGCCTCCTCCTGATTCCTGCCTCATTCCAACCATCCATCCATCCATCCATCCATCCATCCATCCATCCATCCATTTCCTGAGCACCTGCTCTAGGCCAGGCTTTCTGTTAGGCCTTTTGGAGGGCACAGAAATGGCCCTAACACTAGAGTACAACCTGCTGTATGTAAGTGGAGGGGAAGGGTTGGATAAAATATGTCCACAAATCATTCTTACCCCAGATGGCTGGGAACAAGGGCCTTGGGAGCAGCTCGGAACAAAAGATTTTGAAGTTTGGCTGCTATGAAGAAGTCTTTATGAAGATTTACCTGCAAAACCAGGGGATAACTCTTAGCTTTACACTTGTGTAGTTTATATAAGATAATACACACAGGCTACTTAGCAGACTGCTTGGAAGGTACAAAGTGCTAAGACAATGGTATCTGTTACCACCGTGATGATGATTGTGTATCCCCGTCGCAGGCCCTGACCTGCTTTTTTGTACCCAGGGCTGACCACACCTCTGCAGAACAAAGGCTGATGCCGACGGTACCACCCCGGCTGGGCTCCCATGAGGAGACTCAGTAGAAATGAGTGACGGCGGGGAGGGCATGAATTCAAGGTCTTTAATTCAAGGCAAGGCAGCTCCTGAGAGGCGGCTGGGGCTGAGAGTTGGAGCTGAGAGGGGGGGCCCTCTCATCTTCTCTTTAGGATGGTCAGCGGTACCCTTCTCCACTACTTCCGGGTCACTCATTTCTCCCCAGGTCCTTGATGTAGTCCTGGACCCAGTCATCACTGGGGTTGGCACATATGGAATGACCCTTTTTGGTGATGAAGCTGTGGAGCAAAAGGGAGAAGGGTTGCCAACTGAGGCATCCAGCAGCTGGGAAGTGAAAGCTGGTCAGCCCTCCGGAGCAAACTCCTCACCCACCTAGGCTGTTTCTCCTTCCTCTGCTAGAGGCAGCTCAAGACCAGTCTCCTCTCTGAGACATACTCTCCAGCCCCTCAGGGCCCCCCTAGACCCATCCAGTCTCCGTGCTTCCCCTGCCCTTGGAAGTGCCCCCCCCTGCCCCATCTCCTTCCCTGATGCCTCCCCATCCACAGGGTCTGCTTCCTCCTGGCTTCCTGCAGGCTCAGCCAGGCCAGAAAGCCCCCAGGTTGCCCCTCTGGTTGCTGCACCTGGGAGGGGCTCTGGGAAGTCCCCATTCCAGGTCCTCCCTCCCCCACCCCCAGCCTTGCAGGCTCCCTGCCCCCCAGTGGGGTGTGCGGGTGCCACTTACACAACTCCAGGCCTCGAACACTGGCTGCTGGTATCATAATAATCTGTGATCCGGTGACGTGGAATTGCCTGGGCAATGTAGCTGATGCAACACTCGGCCGGGTGGTAAGGTCCTCCTGAGGAGACAGCAGGGAGCGAAGCTGAGCCTGGGCTCTTTGTTAGAGGCCAGACCTGCTGGCTGCTTCTGCATTACAGAGGGCGGAAGAGGGAAGGAAGGAGGGGGTGGCCCCGCTGAATTCGGACAGAGGATTGTGCAGATTCTCTCCTCTTTCCCTCCTCCTGCATCAGCAATCACCTTCCTTCCTGTTCTTCAACCTCTTCTAGAAAGACTGGCTGATGACCTTCAGCTCTGGATTGAAGATTAGCAAAACCCAAGTCTTCTTAGTGAGTACACACCACCCCTGTGGGGCAGGCTCGCACAGATGTGCCACATAGGAGGAATATTTGGAAGAAATCTCCATGAGGGACAGGGACACCAACTGGTTCATGCCAGCTGGGCGTGCAGACCCAGCCCCTCCCAATCCGCCCATTCCGCCTGTGTCCCCATGCAACCCCTGTCCTGCAAAGAGGGAAGGAAGCTGACACCAAGGTCCAAGGACAGGGAGTCAGGACACCCAGATCCCAACCTCCCCTCGCCTTTCCTGGCTTTGTGCCCATGGCAACTTTATTCCCCTGTTAGTTTCCTCATCTGTCAATGAGGTTGTTGGACTGGATTGGTGGTTTTTATACTGAGCTTCCTGGGGGTCTTGGGGCTTCGGGGTCTCTTTCAGAGATACTGATGCATTAGGAGTAGAGTTTTGGAGATAGTATCCCTTTTAGCCCTTTTTGCTGTTTTACATATTAGGTTTCTGAGTAAGATTTTGCTTGAAGAAGGGTTCCACTGTCTAAAAAATGTTAAACATCACTGGATTAGGTGAGCTGTCCAGTTATTTTCTGATTCTGCAATTCCACGGCTCTCATTGGAGGTGTGGGAGGGGGACACTGGAAATCACATGTTCAGTCAAGCTTGACTTATGGAGGGAGCAGGAAGGGCATTTCTGACCAAGGGCCCTGGAGAAACAAGAAGGCACCGTGGTCATGGAGTGGAGGGATGGGGGTGTGCACATTATGTGACCAACCTGGATGGGACTGGGAGTGTCTGGGCAGTGGCCTCCGAGGTCGCCAGGGGCGGCTGCATGCGTGGGTGGGAAGGGAAAGGCCTGGTCTTTTACCCAATTAGCATCCTCCCTCCCCAAAGAATGGGGTAAGGGGCCCGCTGGTCCCTGCCCAGATTCTCATTGACGTTAGACCAGCTTTATTTCAATAACCTCCTCTGTTTCCCTCCCAGTTTCTGAAAAGGAGACAAGGTAAAACTGAAGGGTGAGGCATAGTTTTGGTTGTGCGTGAAGGCAGCTCATCCTAAGGAATAAACTGGGAAAGGGTGGCGAGATGGGACCTGTACTGTCGTGGTTCCCCTCAGCGCACACTTAAGCAAGGCTGCCCTTGCGGGGTGGGTCTGACTCTGGAAGAAAGTGGCCCCAATCTCAGGAGGCAAGCGGACAAATGGCTTTGAGGGTCCCCCCAAACTGCTCCTCTATCTCCCTGGGGATAATGTCCCCCAGATGGGGTGGGCCACTCTTATTTAATGGCAGAGAGAGATGAACTGAGGGAGTGGAGAGGCAGGCCTCACTCCATGGCCTTGGTGGGCAGGCGGACTGGTCCTGGAGGGCGAGGCCGAAACCAGTTTCAGAAGACCCCAGACCTCCTTCGAGAGCCCCTCATCCTTATTTCCCCAAAAACCTTACTCCTGGTTCTTTCCCCACAGGGGCCAAATTGGAAGGAAGACAAGGTGTTGCACTCACGTGGGGAGAATTCAGCCTTGCGCCCCAGGGTGCAGGTGGTGAGGAGGATGACGAAGAGGGAGGTGGCTGCCATGGAGACTTTCATCCTCCTGGTGGGGGAGAACTTTATCCTCTTGGTGGGGAGCTGCTGCAGGAGGAGAGCTGCCCTGGTAGCGACTTCGGAGGATCCTGGGCTGAGGAGTTGTTGAGAAATGATCATCAAGGCAAAATATTTTTTTAAAATGAGGGAACTAAGATGACAAACGGAAGTAGGGAGTAACGATGCCTCAGCAATTTCAGATCCTGAACGTTTGTTGAGGGCGGAGCGAGGGAAGCCTGGAGAGCCAAGATTTCAGGGAGGACCTTGCCTTCCGTCCCTAGTGGGAATAAATTTAACTCCTTGGGTATAAGCCCTTCCTTTGGTGTAGGCCACAGCGCAGGGCCTGGGGGTACTGTTGTGCACTTAGTGCAAGTCCTCAAGGCTGGGATGTGGCCTGTGCCCAATTCCAGTTCTGGGCCTGGAACAAGGCCACGTGGGGAGGTTCAGGATCGGTTTGTCTGGAGATCAGAGGGGATTTGGGGTACCAGGATGAGGCCTGGAGCCCCGCAAGTCCAGTCTTACTAATCTGGGCTAGGAACTCCTCACTTAAACACTTAGGCAGAACCTCTAGCTCCCAGCCTTATCACTACCCTCTCACCGTACCCTGGGGTGAAGAAGTGCCACGATGCTCAGTAGATAATTGATTTAACAAACGTTACATAATGGTTATATGCCCTAGGCACTGTCCCAAATGTTTAAGGAATATTAGCCCATTTAATCTTTAAATCAGCAGTTGAGGAAACTGAGGCAGAGGGAGTATAAAAAACTCACCCAAGCTTTGACAGTTGATAAGTGGAATCAGTGTTCAAACCTGGGCAATCTAGTTTCCAAGTCTGTGTTCTTAACTGCTATGGCCTGGGCAAACATGGGACCCCCCCGCCCTCCTTGCCCCAACGAAGCTGTCTCTGTAAGTGTCCTGGCTAGTGTGGCTTTTCTGCAAAGCCTTTAGTCTGAGCCCTTTCTGAGCTCAGGTGGATCCCTTTGGGACCCTTTCCTGGTTTCTGACTTTTGTTAAAGAGAAGCTTGATGGGTACCTAGAAAATGCCCTGTTCAGGGATGGCTAGTACACTTCACTGATTCAGGGTGGACCAGAGTTCTGTGTTGGAGACCATTCTGAGGCCATGTCCACACACCTCAGAGGGAGTGCTGTGACTAACATGTGGTTCCTGCTAGGGTGCGGCTCACAGGCTATGTATTGCCATCCTTAGATTAGTCTAAACTGGCCATTTACGGAGGAGGAATTGGGGCTCAGGAAGGGCCAGGGGCTTGCTCATATTTACAGGATGACTAGGATGCAGAACAGATCCGCCTTAGTCCAGTGGCCTTTACCATGCTCTTCTTGGGGGCCCTTCGCCCATTTCGCTTGCTGCTGTGGTTGGAAAGCTGTTCATATCTTCTTTCCTTGACTGGACTCATCAGGGCAGGGAGCTTCTGTTCTTTATCTTTGCCCATTCACACACACCTGGCAGGGAGCAGGTAATTTATAAAGGCATGTTTTAGAAGAAGCATGAATAAATAAGTTGAGCAGGTCAAAGTAGGTACACATCTCACAGGAAACATGCTGGGGTTCCAAGATAGCCATTTGTTAGACATATTCTGTATTTGTTATCATCGCTAACAGTACTATTTAAACTCTTCAAATCAAATAACAATTGCCATTAGGAACCATCTAAGGAAATAAGTTTTAGGGTGAACGTGAATTGGAAGGAAACAGTGTTTACTTTGTTTTCCTGGAGACTTAGCCTCCCTGCGAAGTTGTTGTTAGGAGCCTTACAGGAAATCCCTTTATTTTCTAAGAAATTATTAAGTTCCTATCTATGTTAATCTGTATATGCTAATTGCTATAATAAACAACCCCTAAATCTCAGGGGATTAATTAAATGAAGGCTTATTTCTTGCTCACGTCACAGTCCAATGTGTGTGAGCAGTAGGATGAGGGTGTGTGTGTTGGGGAAGGCTGTTCATGCACCTGTTCAGGGACTAAGGCTTCCTCTATCTGTGATTCCTGCAGTTTCAACACAAGGCCTCCAAGTTTGCTACAAATGGGAGAGGCAGAAGAGAGCTGAGAGATTTTCACGTACCAGTCCCAGAAATGATATAGATGACTTTCTTTTTTTTTTTTTTTAAGATTTTATTTATTTATTTGACAGAGAGAGACACAGCGAGAGAGGGAACACAAGCAGGGGGAGTGGGAGTGGGAGAAGCAGGCTTCCCGCCGAGCAGGGAGCCCGATGCGGGGCTCGATCCCAGGACCCTGGGATTATGACCTGAGCCGAAGGCAGACGCTTAACGACTGAGCCACCCAGGCACCCCTGATATAGATGACTTTCACTTAACACTCCATGGCCAGAATGAAGTTACCTGGCTCCAAGTTAATGACAAAATATGGAAAATATAGATCATCTGTGTGCCTAGGAGGAAAATGGAATGGGTTTATTGACTACATCACTTCTTTGCCACAAGACCAAATGCCAGGTACTGGGCTACGCTTGGAGGGTGGGAATGAAGATGACCCTGACCTCAAAGGACTCATAGCTTCAAGAGAGACTCAAAAAAGTAAATGAAAATTACAATACAGTGGGATGAATGGAATTTGTTAGCAACATGGAGACATTAAATATTCTGTTGCCCACCAGTAAGTATGTAGTACCTTTTTAAAAAATATTAAAAATGTTTTCCAAAGCAGCACATACACATGGATTTAAAAAAAAATCAGAGAATACAGAAGGAGTGTGTGGGACATACATTTTTCTGAGTTCCTGCTTGTCTGAAGATGTCCTTACTCATCCCTCATGCTTGATGGATATTTTTGCCGGGTATAGAATTCTACCTTGAGAGTAGAATTTTTGCGAGGGGGGACTTATATTTGTGTTTTTTCCCTGGTTTTTCATCTCTCTAGATATTTTTTTAAAGTTAATCGTCTTTTTATTGGAAAAAAAGACTAGCATTTACAACTTGGCATGGACATAAATTGTAATTTCTTGAACAGCAATGTTGGTGGTGTTCCACAGCCTCAGCCTACTCTGCTGGCTCCAAGTCATGGTTCAGAAGGTTTTAAAAATGGAGTCCAAAGATAGTCCCTTCCTTTTTAAAACTTGGTGTGAATGGTGACAGCCACACCCACTTTGCTCTAGTACAACGAGGACAAGGCTAACCCAACACACGCAGCCCGCTACCAGGATGAGTGTCATCATCACCATGGGTCAAGGCACATGGAAGTATGAGAGGGCCATTCTGCTAAGTGGGGCTATGTTTAGACTATTTATCCTTCATCCATTTTTCTGCACAGCATCCTGAGGTAAACCAATTTTAAATGTTTGTTTCCAGTAAACCGGCCATGACAATTTATACTAACAAGTTGAACTAGAACACATTTGAATATGCTTTCAATCTGTTTTTTTCATTTATCATTTTTAACACAAATGTTTCTTGATCATTAAGATAGTACAAGTATTTATACTATAAAACTGATGGGAGCTTGATCTTTAAAGGACAGGACCACAAACCAATACATGCAGATTTTTGAGTGTATGGACCTAAGGTACCTTTGACATTCAGTTTTGCTATAGAGAAACAGAATGAATAAATGAATTTTTTTTTTTTTTTTTTTTTGCAAGCAGGTAAGTAAAAGATTCAGTTGGATTCTTCTGGAGGGGGAAAAGGAATTGAAAGTAGGTCTTCATTTTACAATCATCATCTATATGAATTCTTCATAGTCAACTTGTCCATCTCCATCAATATCTGGTTCTCTGACCATTTCATCGACTTCATCTGTTCGTTTTTCTCCCAAGTTTTTCATGACATGGGGTAGTTCTGCCACACTGTTGCAACCAGGGCCATCCTTGTCAAAGACTGGGAATGCCTCGCAAATTTCTTCTTCACTGTTTGTATCTTTCATTTTTCCAGCCATCCTAGTCAAAAATTCTGGCTAGTCAATGGTGCCATTACCATCGGCATCCACCTCGTTGATCATATCCTGCAGTTGGACTTCTGTTTGGTTCTGACCCAGTGACCTCACGACAGTTCCAAGTTCCTTTGTTGTGATGGTGCCATCACTGTGTTTGTCAAATAGGGAGAAAGCTTCCTTAAACTCAGCAATCAGCCATGCTGCGAGCTAAAGGAGGGGGAAGCAGAGGGAGCCAGGGGGGTTGCTCTAGTGCAGGGGCTGTGGTAGTGGGATGCCCCCGCCACTGCCGCAGCTAAGGCACATTGTGCACTCAGCCTTGTGAGTAATGGCCCCCTGCCTGCGAGGCTCTCAGCACTACTGCCCCATTCTCTAGAAGATTTTAAGATTTCTGATTTATCCTTGTTTTTTTGCTTTTTGGCAGAAAAAGATGATCCGAGGCTCATCTTATACTTGGCCCCAGCTCTAGAAATCAACCATTTCTCCAATGAGTCCTGGTTCCCATTAGTAAAGGATGGTTTTGAGAAATCTGGGTGCTTAGGGTGCTCACTGCTTATGGGAAGGGCATAGCTCTTAAGACTGAGCTCTTAGTGGACAGAACTAGGAAATATATCGAAGCATGTATGTGTGAATGTGTATGTAAATTTATATCTATTCTATTATATCAATCTTACACATTTATAGCAATTTCTATATCATCAGTCTCACTATATGAAAAACCAAAAGTTTATACCAATACATTCAATTCCAAATCAACACCACAGGGTTTATTTTAACCTTCCCTGTCTATGTGTTTCCCTCTCTACTTTATCACTGAGAAATCTGGCTCCCATTAACCTCAATATGTTTACCTCTTTGCACTGTCCCCTGTATATACCAAATCCTCTGGCCGTACTGGCTGTATCACAGGTCACACTGGCCTCAACCATGTGGGTCATGCCCTCTGCCCCAGTCCTAGCTGAGTTCTCAGGTGAGCCCCGTGGTTCACAGCAAGAGAATGAATACATGAGGGGTGGGGGAAGGAGAAAAGGGAATGAGTTGTATATTTAAAATCTTCACTGTGGTTCTAAAAGTAGAAGAGTAAAAATGTGAATGTTTCCATTTGCTGTTTTATGTCTTGATGATTTCTGTTGCAGCTCTTTGAAGTTTTTGTTTTATTTTTTAAAGATTTATTTATTTGAGAAAGGGAGAGACCAAGAGAGTGAGCATGGGAGCATGGTGGGGAGGGGCAGAGAGAGAAGGAGAGAGAGAATCTCAAGCAGACTCCCCACCAAGCACAGAG